TATATGTGTATAAAAGTTCACGCTCTGGAAATAGAACCTTCCTCTAAGCTCACTGCATACTGCTCCTCCCCTAGGTTACCTTGCTGACCAGCACCTTGGACCTTTGGCATTGGAAATACAGAAGAGTCAAACTATTAAGCAAGCAACACGAGTCCTGTTGAGATGGAAAGGAGAAGCGCTGCTCTTCACACGGCGAAGTTTACTGACTACGAAACTGCAGAGTTGGGAAAATGAGACAGAATGCTTATAGAGAACTCAGGTGGTTCAGAGTAAAAATAGAACAAAACCAAACTTATGGCCTTAAAATCTAAACAAAAAGAATACTTCCCATATAGCTGAAAATTGTCAGTGTCTGGAGTGTAATTTTACTGTGACAATAAACCACTTATCAAAAGAGTAACTCTGATGGTACTGTTGGCAGGTGGAGTTTGCAGATGGCAAATGACACCTGCAGAACAATGTGACAGTTCAAAGGACATTAATTGTATGCTCCCACAGGGAGGACAAAACAGTGGTCCCCAGGTGGAGTGGCTCTCAGTGCAACATTTGGAGACTTTTTCGCTCTCATGACTTGGAGAGGAGGGCAATTCCAGTGGTATTGACTGGGTAGAGGCCAGGGATGCTGCTTAAAGCCTTCCTTATAAGGCACAGGATGTTCTTCACAAGAAATTATCTAGCCCCCAACACAACAGTGCCTGGGCATCAGCATTTGAGTTCTTGTTGTATCTCCTGTGCGATATGGGACCCCTGCCTAGCTACTCAACCTTTCGGAGCCTCAGCCTCAGCTTGCTCCTCTGTATAGCAACTGTATAGCAAGCCAATGACAGCTTATACTGCTGAGTAATAGTATCAGGCGCCACTCCCCAGGCACTTCATTCCCTCCTTCCAAAACCCTGGCAAGGTCTGGTTATTTACACATGAACATGAACTACACTAGTGAAGATGGAACTTGCAGCACAGTGAGGATGAACACTCAACTGCCGGGGCCTTTTAAAAAAAAAAAAAAGATACACTCAGCTAAGCACATTTTCTTTTTGTTTTGTGTTTGGTTGGGGGGGGGGGG